CACTCACTCACTCACTCACTCACTCACTCACTCACTCACTCACTCACCACCACCGCCATAATCACCACGGTCTCCACCTTCATCACCACCATCACCTCTCTGGACCCCAATGCGTCTAGATCTCTAGACTTTCTGCTTACAGACCTCACACACACTGTTTGGGGTCTCTTGCCGGGTCTCTTGCTGGTCTTTACAGCGTGTCTTATTTTTCTGGTGCCCAAAGCACCGGCATCGACGCAGTTTTCAGCATCTTCCCGGGTTCTCAGGGAGGCAGCCGCTAGCCCCCTAAATAAGCAACCTCGACTGAAACCACAACAATGCGTAGCCTCTTAAAGAAAGACCTAAGTGTCAAATCTTGCCGCAAAAACGCACCCTTAGGAAAAACATCAACACCAGTGCAAAAATGCTCGCCCCCAACAAACAACAAGGCCACCTAACATCAAACCTCAATCCCAAATGATCCCTTTTCTCATGTGTTCCCAGTGCCGGGCCAGGTCCTGATGCGCTGGGCCAGGTCCGTGGTATTGAAGTTCGTGAGGTCCCTCACTTGCGACTCCCCAATCGCGACGTGCCATGAGGGGAAATTGGGAGATCGAAATCACCGAAATCACCACGTGGTGTTGGCATCGGTTTGAAGTGCGGCTGTGCTGAGATCTTGCAAAGGTTCCCTGTCTGAGGCTTATCTAAGGCTTCTCCGAGTAACTTGCTCATTCTGGCGAACTCCCAAAATAAGCTACACGATTCGCACACGATTCACCACTTGGTTTGTGGGGTGTGTCAATAAAAACATGTGCATGAACCAGCTGGATTCGCCCAATCCATCAGGAGAAACGGATTTCACCGTCCTTTTCGTCTGAATCGATCGGAGGAATCCTGATCCAGGCAGAGAGCTCGATGGGTTTTCGGACCAATGCAGCAGATTTGGCACCCATTTGGCCGATCCACACGCCCAAATAGAAATTCACTTGGATGTAGACTCTGGAAAAAGATAGAACCCCCGCGGACATGGATGGTTGTAACCTCTTTCTACCTCACTCGCAGGAAACGATCCCAGACGAGTTCGCGCCGGTGCCACGCATTCAATTGGCAGACGAAAAGCTTAGCTGTACAGAACACAAATGGATGGTAAAGCCTCTTTATCTGGGAGGATTTATAGAATCAAGAGTCAAAGTCTACGGCGTCTACGGCACGTCTTTAAAAAAATGGAAGGGCTGCAGTCGTCTTCTCAGATTCCTTGGTTTCGGGGATAAGTTCTTCCCTTTAGCGAAAGGAAAAGCATGGAAAAGCTAGCAAGTAAGCCAAGCTTGGTGGGTGAGGAACACTGCTCTTCCCCATCTTTCCACCATCAATGGCAAGAGCGGCGTGCCATGCCCAGATCTACACCGTTTTTTCGGGATCTGTCTGCTTGAAAAACAGACCAAGGCCCACAGCGAGGGCCATTCACCAAGAAGCTGTCTTTGCAATGGCACCTTCGTCGTCGCACCAGTGGAAGCAACAACGCTCTCCAGCAAAAGCCAGCCAAGCAAAGCCCAACAAGCCGCAGTTGCCATGGCTCGCTCAGATGAAGCAAGCGCTAAATCTAGGGGTTGGGGGGGCGCGTGCTTGCACCTTAGCTCTGCACACCCAAGATGAAGGGGTATGGCCCCACAGCCACCCTTCTATCGGTCTGAGTATTCACCAAACTCTGGTGGCAGGAAATCAACCACCCAACATGCTAGTTTTGTCAAGCCATCCCCATCTGAGAGCCCGAGCAGGTTGAGAGGGTTCTTGGCTTTGTTGTTTGACTTCGAGGGCCGGTTCGTGGAAGCTCTGCTCAGTGGTCTAGCACTGAGTTCCCCTAAAAGACAGTGGATTTGGATGAACCTGTCACTTCATCACTTCGCGGACAAAGAAAAACTGTCGAGTGCAACTGGTGACAATTCTTCAGAATCACCTGAAATTTCCTGAAATGAAGACGCAGGGGGGAGAAAAGGTCACTGGTCCCTAGTCCAAGAGGCATGCTCATGTTTTCACGTCCCAACACATGGATGCTCCAGATGCAGAAAAAGAAACGAAGATGACCAGGTCTGTATCTACTGCCAAGTCTGTTTATCGATTCATCGTTGGTCGGTTTCTCGGGTCATAGCTCTGGTCTCAGCTTTGGTTCAGATTCCTTGGTTCCAAAAGGGCTGCAGAACGCCCGGGCACCTTGGTGGGCACCTCCAGGCAAAGGATCCCGAGGCCATCCTGCTATAACACCTATACACCGCTGGGTCGGGCGTGTTTCTTCTTTGAAGGTTCCGAATTGATGGCCTCCAACCTACAAAGAAGCCTTTCCCCCAGAGAATCCTGCTGTCGATGCTTACCTCACATGGTCGAGTGTCCTCCCTCCCAAATTGAGCGTCCCACACTGGCCACACTGGCCACATGGACTGCGTAATTCCACCGCAGCTGATCCACATACCAGTACTAGTAGATGTTATAATGTTATAAGACCCCGTAAGAAAGAAACAACCAACGTTTTTCCTCTTTGAAGTATGCTTGGGGTATCCCATTCCCTGTAACAGTGGATGACTCAAATAGTGACTTGCTTGTCTACCGACTGTTACAGGTCAAGCCTGGGACACACCCATGTCTACATACTGTGGATGGTAAATGAATCTTCCCCCTCCCAACCCATAGGCTTTGTGGAACCCAAAACAGTGTGGTGAATGGTCTCATCAGCACTCCTTCGACTCATCAGCACCCTGCCGCACCGTCGCTGTTCCCGTTCTTCGAGGACGAGAACATCATGAAGCCGCTGGTAAGATTGTGACTTGAGGAAGGGGCTACATCTGTTCCTCTGGTCAAGGTTACCTAGATTTAGTCGTGCCACCCACCCTTCCTTTGATGAGAGAGGGTCTCTATCCAGGGTCGTGCCAACTTCGCCTTCCGTGCTGTTTGGACTGTTGGGAGGACTGCTTTGGACATGTCCAAAGCCTGAACAACACTGGGACCGGCAAGCCATCTTCGTGTGCTGGGACCGGTGCGAGCGAAGGAACCCGGTCCAACTGCTGGAGCCGCTGAGGAAGCAGCATCTCGCTGTCGGGGTCCGTTCCGAACGTCGTTCCGGCGGCTTTTTGGTGCTCCCGCGTTGGGGGCGGTGTCTGCCACCACCCTCCATGGAGAATCCGAAAAGTCTAAGTCCTTCCTGGAAAGTGCAGGGGGTCAGTCGAACTCCATGATGCGTCACATAACCCCTCACTGCGTCACATAACCCCCGAGTCAGGTTCTGATTTCCTCGAGGGTCGACCCAGAAATCCTCTCCTTGCGCCATTCGTGTCCAAAGACTCCATGGCGCTACAAAGACTCCGTGGTCGAAACGGATTATCACTGATGGATTTAGAGTCGTTCGACTGCATATGTATTAGAATCTGATTTCAGCTTCCTCCTGCGATATTTCGAAGCTCCCATGCAACTGACAAAAGACGGTTTGGAACAAGAATCCCGCTCTGGTGGACCAAGGGCCAAGATGGCTTTGCGGCTGAGGGTTGGCGTAAGGTAGTTTGAGAACCAAAGAAAGAGATGCGAACCAATGCGACAAGGTTCCATCGAATGAGGTAGCCCACAAACTCTCTCACACCTAGAAGTCAGAAGTTCTCCAGAACTAGCCACAGCAAAGATCAAGCATGTGTCCGACACGTTTTCCAGAGTTTCAGCCAATCAGGAGGCAGCTTCTCACCACATGTAATAGGTACGTGGTACCTTCTGGAGGCAGCTTCTTCAGAGACCGACCGATGTCTGGATCTCACCGTAATCCGAACACCAAACACACAAAAGCGTTCACGGCGAAGCCGCACTCAGCTCCAACCTTGGGTTCCGGCTCAACAAACACACATTCTGTTAGGACGTGGCGGACTTGATGTCAGGACATGATGGAAAGAGGCGCAAGTCCTTGGAGTGCTGCGGAAGGAGACCCGCCCTAGGCGCCCTCCCCCCAGAAACCGGACGATTTGCATGGAATGAAACCGGGATTCTTTGTTTCTGGTCCCCAACATGTGTTCTTTTGTTTCATCTTCCCACCACTGCACCGGCGCCTGAATGCGCCGACCGGACCAAATGCGCTCCCGTTTTCGCTCCTGGTTCACTCGACCAGATCGGTCGCACGGCTTGGGGTGCCTTGCTTTGCAAGGCACCTCGAACCATCTCGAACCGCATCCGCACAGCCAGGGACAGATGCCCCTTCGCTGCCGCAGAGCGTGCCGAAGATCGCGGGTTTTCGTGCGTGGCTAAAGAAGATGGCCGCGACGGTGATCGCGCAAGACCGGGGTAAAAGCCAGAGTGAAAGTTGAAATCACTAATGCATCCATCCAATTTGTGGGGATCTCGGACTTGGATGGGCGTTTTGGACATATTTGTTGAGCACCTCCATCTGCCCAAACTCGAAGAGTAAACATCGACGTCTCATCCCTTCCAACAGTCTCATGCCGTCTGCTCCACTGCTTCTGCCGGTCTCCTTCCACCCCCTGTCTTCGGGGTCGGTGTTTTCCGGTGAAACCGAGGTCACTCGGTCACTTCCCAACCGGGTGCGCCTGTGGAGACGCGACGCGACAGCCGGCGGAGCGGTCAGAGACTTCCCGGTCCCAACGCCACGCGGGAGCTGGCGTGATGATCCAAAAGACTCAGTGGTACGAGAAACCAGATGATTTGTGTTTAGAGATGTGTGAAAGGAGATCATGGTTTGATTCTCAGATTCTCTACAAAAAGGCCCTGTTGTGTCTGGAACTTGGGAAAAAAAGCCGAGCAAATCCTGCACCAAATGCAGGGATGGATCGGAAGTACAGTGGATCTACCAGATCACCTCCTCGAGGTGGTGGAAGAAAGCCAAGTTCAGGCCGTAAGTGCTCAGAACATGTGGCAATTCTCGGAACCAGGCCTGGAGTCCTTCTACCTGGCCTGTCTGTCTCGCCCAGGACCCACCACTCCTCACCCTGGCCTAAAAAGGGAGAAGACCCCTGGGCTCTTGCCCAAACTTCCACTGGGCCGGCTTCTCCTTATCTGGATATGCGTTCCTGCACGGCTGCCAAGCCACGGATGCCGTTTGCCGTACAACAGCGGACGGGTCTCCCAGTCAACAAGGGATGACAGAGAGTGGAAACAGCCAGGACTCAGTCCTGCGCGCCCCGGAACAGCCAAGAGTTGGTGAATTGAGTTTACGACCCCTTAGGGATTTCATAGACCTCAAAGAAGGAACAACTCTCCCAACTGTGAGTCGGAACCCCGTCCCTATCAGCTGAACAGCCGACTGGGCCCTCTGAACTACATCCTGAAGACTGGAGGCTGTCTTGATTTGGGGGTGTATGTGTATACTGTATATATATATAGTTATATATATATATGTGCACGTTTGTTTGTTCTCAGGAATAGTTCTTCTGGGGGTGCCTACTTTGGAACTGATACAAACAAATCCATCCTTCATGAAAAGGCCTCTCCAAACTCAGTCTAAAACTCATCCGTTATCTCATATTATATGTATAGATATCGTTATATATAATAAATAGAATTAAATAGATGCTTATTGCATGCTGTCGCTTCACACCAAACTCATCACCTCGGAGCTTTCTCGAACATTAAAGAAAAAGAAAAACAAAGCGCGGTCTGCTGAAGGACGAACATTCACTGCATGACCGGTTCTGGGATGTTAGGCTCCATGTTCGGCTCAAGTTCTGGCTGTCATCTTTGACTTGGTGGCTAAATTTCAATTTCATGGCATATGATTCGCCCCATAAAGATAGATAGCAAAATATACAAGATGATGGGGCAAATAATGGTCTCTTTTCTCTACAAATGGATGCTTTTTGTGCAAGTGATGGGCACCATTGAGTTTGTAGAATCTGGAAACTTGGGGCACTTGAGATCCACTTGAACATGTTTTCCAATTCCGTCCACCCTTGAACCACCTCAGCTGCGACCCTTCTCTTGCCGAGCTCCACCCTTCTCTTGCTCGCACACATCGCCGCGCGCTCCTGTCGCTGAGGTCCGGTAGCTTGTAGTGCCCTGGGCCCGGCTTGATCGTGGCCCGTTCACCTGACGCTCCGTGGCACGCGAAGCTCGTGGTGAAACGCTCCGTAGGTGCCAATGCTTCGACTCGATCGGCGATCCGGGTGGGGATCAAAATCGATTTGAGGAGCAGAGGTGAAACGATCTTCAAGGAAGCTTCCTTCACAGTTTCTTGTTACTAAGAAGCTTCAAAAACATACTACAGTAAAAAAAATATAAAAAGCTTCTTGGTACTACAGGTGAAACGATTCCCAGTGAAACGATTCCCAAGGAACACTCAAAGACCTGAGAGAGGCTGATGGTGAAGAGACCTGTGTTCGTTTTAGCTTTGGGACATCGCATGTCTCTTTTCTCACATCGCTAAGGATGCATGTTTTACTTGGTTCGTTGTTTGGAGGTGTTTGAGTGTGTCAAGGGTCCAACATTGGCTGGACATGCCTGACAACCCAGCTTCGAGGAGTGGTTCACGGTCGAAGAAACGGTTGGCAGACCACCACCTCCCGCGCTCTCTTTCCGCAAGGTCCTCCAACCGGCCTTACTGCCACGCGGAGCAGACCACTTTGGATGCAAAGAAACGGCTCCTTTGAACCCCAAAAACCGATCTCCACCGAGTGATCGACATCTTTAAACACCAAAAATCGATCCCCCATTCCACCATCCGTCGACTGAACGTGAACCGGCCTCTCGCGGGCTCCAAGGGGTCCAAGCGACCATACATGGTGAACCTCCCAGTTCACTCGCGACCCGAACACCGCAGGCGACCCGGACGAAGTCTGGACGTCTCGGTGAACAAAGGCGGGTCCCCGTTCGCAATGAGCCCAATGGGTTGTTCCGGCCAGCTGGAGATGCCGAAAACGGAAACATCACAAGTGATTTGTTTGGAGAAACATCCGCTTGTTTCTGGTTTGTTTGGGTTGCCACGACGGAACAAAAGTCTGAAACTGCTAAGCAAGCATGTCTTGTATGGTTCTTGGCTGGTCTTTTTTGCAATCTGACAACACATCCAACGGCGTACCTTCTATCCAACGGCGGGGCCCAAGGGGTTGTCTGTTTTCAGATACCAAGGATTCCCAGTTCTTCCCTCGGCCGGCCGAAAAGCTTCATGGCCGACGACACCAGTATCCGGTGCGGCCGTTCCATTCGACGGCCGTCCAGCTAGTGAGAAGTTTGTAGCATCACACTCCCCGCCAGCCAGTGGCCCTCAGGGAAAACCGACTCAGTCAAGTCCAAGAAATTTGGCCACAGCTTCTTTTTCGCCCATACCCTGCTCCACTTCCGGCCTCACACGACCCAGTTTCCTTCGATTCAGATCTTGAGGTTGGTTGATTGGACAAATCCCAATCCTTGCAGGCCCCACCTCTCCATACCTCTCCAGTCCCAGCCGCCTGTAGGGTGTGATCTTCCCGACGCGTGTGGTCTTCTCAACCCGGTACCTCCAGCTCGCTCCCGGTTGCGTTGCTCTCGTGTCATTGGTCGACCCGGTAGGGCTAAGGTGCCCCAAGTGTCCCTGAAGAGAACGCTCGCAGCGTTTGAAGTCCGAACATCCTGCTTTCCTGGAGTTGTTGGCTTCAGGAACACTTGGACTTCTCAAGCTCTCCAAACGTGCTTTGAGTATATTTGGATACATTTTGTGGGGGTCCTTTCGCTGCCCGCCACTTGGGAGCTGACCTGGATTGCAGTGGATCATGGTCAAGAGATGTTAAGAGGTACATAGGGGCTCCACCCAGAATGTGATGACCTCAGCGCTTACAAGCCAAACGACTATCTAGAAGGATTCGACTAACCATCTGAAGAAATGCTCTGAGACCCAAGTTGGGCTGGTTTTCAAACCTGAAGGTACAGCGTGGGTTTCATGCCGAACAAGGTCTCCTGGTGGATAGTGATCAAAGTTGGTGTCACATCTGAGTGTGGCGGTAGTTTGCGCATTCTCCGTCCCTTACAGGGTCTGTTTGTCAACTGCATCTTCGTGTCCTATTCGGCCCATTCACCCCATGAGTTCCTGTGAAACCCTGCGGTTTCCACAGCTCTGCTGTGGAGGCGGGTCAGACGGACGAACGGACGAACGCTGCGCACTCTCCCGGCACGGGAGTCGGGGCAGCGACGGGCTCGCGCCAGGCCTGGGTGTTTCACCAGCGACGAAAGCCATGGAACCACCAAAACCCACATGCACAGTGTGATTTTTTGGGAGACGACGGGCTATGATGCAGTTCCACCTGTCATATCAAACCTTTACATGGCAAAATCTGAAGTAAAAAAGACACATCGCTCACGTGTTTGATCATAGAACCAACATGAACCATCAATCCTTGCAGGTCACTTCGCCGAAGCAGTTCGACCAACTCTGGGTGGGAAGTGGTCCAACTCTCCCAGGGCCGCTGGAAAGTGGCTGGCTGGAAGCTCTTAGATCTAGGAGATCACACCTCTCCCTGCAAAACATTGCAAAACCAGCCTATCACAGCTGGGGGTGCCCCCAGCTGAAGCTGAGTGACCCAACAACACCTACGTTCCACCCACCACTCAAACGTGCCATCTATACTCGGGTCACTCCTTCGGCCGACAGCTGTGACAATCACCCCCTTCTCGACTCTTTCTTCACCTCGATGCTACGAGTAGAGTCGAACGAGGCGTCAGGTCGCATTCTGGCGCTTGGAATGGGTGGCAGGTCCTCCGTTGCGACTCACTGCCTACAACGAAGAGCCGTGAGACTCGCTCGTCTCACGCCCGTTCCGGGCCTCGGAACGTCTACGGCGTAGGCCGCGCTCCGGGCGGTCGGGCGGGACTTCATGGATCTCCTCCAAGGTGGGCAAGCGCCGAGGCTTCTTCTCGGGGCGTAGACCCTTCCTCGGAAAAAGACACGCTTTAAAAATAGCACCTGGGAAAGAAGAAAGTGGTGATTTCTGGCGTGGGAGAAAAACACAAACGAACTCAAACTCAACCATTCCAAGTTTCAGGTAAAGCCATACCTTCTGAGAATTTGGCACGTGGTGAAGCGTGGCCTCTTCTGGGATGAGCCATCCACTTTGTCCCGGCAACTGCACGCTCATCCCTCTCAACCCCTTCGGAAGATTCGTTCCTCCAGTGGCCTCACTGCGCTGTGCCTTGCGGGCGAAGCGCGCCACGGAGCTGCGAACTTGCTCCCAGTCCGTCGGCTTCACGAGCTTCCCTCGGAAGCAACGAGACGAACGGCTGCACCACGCAGTCAGAGGGGAAACTGTTTGAAGGAAAATGCCTAACTGACTCCTCCGCCCCTCAACCCTCCTGACTGCCATGGAAAATGGTCGTTTAAGAAGAATGGAGGGACCCACTTTTGGGGCGCTCCGCTGGGGGAGGGGGATGATGTATTTTTTCGTGGCATTTCTTCGGATTAAGTCGTTAGATGCTTTTTGTTGCTAGCAAGGCACGGTTCCCGAAAGGACATGTTCTGCATCTTCTATACATGAATCAGGATTTATAGGATGTCCTTTGCAAATCTAGATCCCCCCTAACCACCTGGTCTTTTGGGCTCATGGAAAAATAGAAAAGATCTGCTCAGAACTCCCAGTTTGCGCAAGCTGGGCATGCTGGAGTGCAAGGAGGATGTTTCCGATGACATGTCACGCAGAAAGTTCAGCTGGGCCTGCTGAATATCTTGAAGCTCTGTCGTCACGTCCACCAGCAAGAACATCTCTTGGAGCTCTGGACAAGCATTCTCCACACTCCGCGCGCTTCCAGAGGAAGCAGCATCGAGTCGACGACTTGAAAAACTGGAAGGGCTCAAGCAGCAAAGCTCTGAAGGTATTGCATCATCGACCGAATCCGGCAACGGACGGGAATCTGAATCCTCTTTGAAGGCGATCAAGTGATAAGGATCGCTGGAACCAAAAAGCCCTGGTACTGGGACATGAAAAATGTCAGCTGCAACTCCGATACCTGCGACCACACGAGACCAACCCTTGCTGGACGGCTCGTTCCAACCCTGGAATTCTCATGCCCCGGCGCTCCAAACAGCCCTTAGGTAGCGAAATCTCAAACGTAGGGAGGGGAGTCATATGATTGTGGAGCATCGAGCATCAAGAACCTGCCAGATGTTTGCCTCCAACGGGAGCCAGGAGAACCAAAGACTACCAAAGCCCAGCGACCTCAAAAAGAAACGTGGGACCTTTCGCAAGCGCCGGACATGCATGGCACACGCGTGAAACGTTCAACCTCGCCAGCCTGCGGAGCCGCGAAAGCGGAGGCGGCAGCCAAGGGGAAGGGCGTCAAGCTGGGACGTCGTGGTGTGCAGGGCGCGGGTAGAGTTCCTGGGAAAGGGGAGAGTTTCGTTCCCCCGCTTGGTGCGAAACTCATCGACGTGTCAACCAAAGCTACCCTTGAGAAGTCAACTAGATGTTCTTCTCGCCAAGCCCCTGATGACACTCCGACAGGTGAGACTGGATCGAGAAAGTCCCTGACAGGCCAGCTGTGGAACCCTGAAAAAGCGGTCGGTTCTCTGCCAATGCGCAAAAAACAACGAAGTCTGACCCATCCTGGCAAACAGTCCCATGTTGTAAAGAGAAAGACAAAAACTGGCCGGCATACCCCCTCTGAAAAAGCGAGAAATAATCCACACCCACATACCTGGCGCGCCATGTTTCTTCAGAGTGATTCATCTCGCACTTCGGTCGTCGGGGTGTTCATACCATTTTGTGTTGGCAAATCGAAACAGTGTACAAAATGACGGGTTTGCGAGGCAGCATGACTGTCATGTTCATCCCCAGATCCTGTTGCAAACAAAGTACAAGCATCAACGAATGAAGGATGTGTTTTTCTATTTGGAGGTCCCCCAACAAATTGAAAGAGCAGTGCCACATCTATCCTTTTTGGAAGTTATAGTTCTTGGCGGGTCAAAGCCAGCAAACACCTTTCAGCTTCTGAACCGTACTCTGACCCACAGCCACCATTAGCGCTGAGGTCTCTGACCCCCAGTTCCATTTAGCATCTGCTTGTCGGCTAGCCCGCTGCCAACCAAAAACCTTCACACTGCCACACCCGCCCCCGCACCCCGGTTGGAACAGGGGGCCCGGGCTCTCGATCGGGCGGCCAAGTGTCTCCATGAAGTGTCCGAAGTGAGTCCGTTCGTCCTCCACGAGTAACTGTTGAAAGGATCGACCCCGAAGACTCACATCCGTCAAGATCAAGTGCTTCAGCCCCTCGCTTTCCTGCGGCTGGGCTGGGTGGACGAACGGACGCATGCATGCAGGTTTCACCCTGGCGCTCGAAAGGACGTGAAGTTCAAAGCAGTGAAGGAATCGAACAGCGGGGCATGAGTCCGCCTTTAGGCAATGGCAACATCGCATTCACTAACAAGTGTTGTGCCTGTGCCAGACAATGCTGCTTTGAAACATGCGAACCTTCTTCAATGTGCCATGCGGGCATCACATCATTATTGTGGGAAACATGACAACGACCCAATAAGCAAGAACCAGGAAACCTGCATATCAGCGTAACAACATGACCCGGCGTCAGCGTCTCAGCGTGACAACCCGTCAGCAGGTGCCCGTGGGGCCCGTGGCAGGCGGGCATGACACCACGTCAGCTTGACAGCCTGACAATATGTTGGCGTGACGCTATGCCAGCATATCACTGTGACAACATGTCAGTAGTACAACACACGTCTGCATGACAACATGTCAGTAGCAGTACAACACACCACCATTGCATCATGTCAGCATATCGGCGTGGCAACACCTCAGCAGGTCAGCACAACATGTTCGCATGTCAGCAAGGGTAGCGCGCCGCACCAAGGGTAGCGCATGTTTGCAAGTTAGCGTGGCAGAATCACAACCTGTGAGAATGTCGAAATGCCATTCTCGACGGAATCACAACGACATGCCAGCCGGATGAAATGTCAGCATCACGCAGCAGAACAGCGTCAGCATATCTGCAAAGTGCTCCTACGGTGACGAGCTTGGTGCCGGGGACTTGGCGATAGGCGAATGGACTAGCGCACTTCGCCTAGTAGGCAAAGGCCTTGACTGGGATCGCAAGATCGGGTGGTCCGAGATGGAACCTCCTCCAGAACCTGCACTTGAGCACGCTCCGGTTGAGCTGCCCGGTCGCACGCTTTTTTTCGTCCGATCTGCTCGGTTTTGTCTTTACTATGGCTGAAGACACGAAGCTTCGCTGGTGGGAGAAAAAACACGGGACAACCTCTTCATGCTTGGAATTATACTTATACTGTATACTTGAGATATACAGTAGATATATAATATATAGTATATAATGTACACCATTTGGCTAGGAACAGGTTTCTGTATGTAGATGTTCCTGTAGAACAACTCTAATGACTCTAATGGTTCACAGCGCAAACTGATGGGGACGAACTCGAAAGGACCTGGAGTGGAGGAAATCCTGCCTGTGCCACGTTCATCTGGCTGTCCAAGAGCACCTCTCCATCACCTTGGATTGCGGCTTCAACTTCGACCCTCTCGAGATCCCGGACGAAACCAGCGGGTGATTTGGTCCGGGCTCCAAAATCCTTGCCAGCACCTTTTAAAACTTTGGAGTTCTGGGATGATACAGTATATGATATCATGATGCATGAAATATTTCAGGACTTTCAACTTTCGACCCATACAGGTCCGAAAAAACTTTGAAAAAAAGGCTAGCTATCCCTTTCAATCACCAGCACGTAATGGATCGCCCAGATGCAAACCTTTAGTAACCGTGGGCCGGCGTGAAATCGTCCAACTCTTTTCCCGGGTCACTCCACACCTGTGCACTCTTTTCCCCAAACACTGTCAAAAACGTGTGAAGAAAAGCGCTGAAAAGTCCGCCGATCACCAGGCAGGTCACATAAACCTCTCAAGACCCGTCGGAAGCTCTGCACCAGGCACTCGGCATCGGTGGTGTGCAGCAAAGCATCGAAGCGACCACGGAGCAAGCGGTCGATAAAAATGCTCGAGGCCACAGTGGCCACTAGGATGAAGAATTGACTCACCTCGGAGCTCATGTTCGTCAAAAGCACACTGGGACCGTGGGCTTTCTTCAGTCGACAAAAGAAACTGGTCAATAAGATAGAAATGAGTGACGATGGTGATGAGGTTGGGACTTTGAACAAAAAAAAAGAAACGCCGTAAACCGTGGTATTTGCGGAGGATTTCTCACCACCCGAGATGTTTGGTCCCGAAGAACTTGGGCGCGACTCGCATCAGATGGCCAGGTTTTGCGACGCATTCACAGGGTGGAGATCCGACCCTGGGGCTATGGCAAGGACTTGAATCCTGGGGGCGTATGGGAGGTGTTCCAGGCTCGGAAGGGGAAGAGATCACAGGAGACCTTTGGCACTTCTGTGCGGCACAAGTATCTGCAGGTGGAGACCAATTTCCATCCAGTTGTACGTAGCTCTACATGGGTGTCCACGGAACAAAGAAGCCAGGCGAAAACCGTCCGTTTTTTCAAGTTGGTGGAACCCGCCCCTGTTGGTTTGGTGAGACTTTTTCTGCCAAAAAAGAACGCAAAAAACACAACTCCTGTCCCATCTCCAAGAATGCCAATGAATGCGACCTACCACCCCAGATTAGCTTGGTCCACCTGTCGTCGAGCCAATAGTCTTCTGCAAGACCAACCACCTGTCTTCCCCTCTTCAATCCTTCAATGTTTCTGTATAACTCCTTCTGATGTACCAGGTCGATCGGTTTAGTACTTAATGATGGCAGTGTCAATGTCCCATTCCATCTCAAAGCCCCACAAACCACAAGAAACCCCCCCTAAGACGCTCATGCCTTGGCTCGGCTGAGGCTCATCGGATGGGACATTGGTCTTGTGGAGACCGTCCCATCCGATTAAATGGATCCACAAAATTGATATATTGATTTCGAGGATCCATGTCTCATCAATTTGGCCAAGGGATCCTCGATGAGACATGGAGATCTAGACGAGATAGGACCTCTCTCCTCCTCTTTGATCAGAGATGCAATCTCTTCTGGATCTCCTTTCAACGATTGCACCCTGAGTTTCTTTAAAACCCTTCAGAGGGTTGCAGACCCCCCACAAAATAAGACCTTCTAATGTTAATCCATGTGTCTACATGATTCGCTTTCGGTCGTGAAAGCTGTCCCAAGAAAATACAAAAAAAGAAACGCCAACTGCCCAGCAGTTGAGTGACACATAATGGCCCCAACTCCAAAGAAGACTTGTCGAAGACCAAGAGGTACACCGACCTGGGCGAACACCGATGGCCGGTGCATCAGCGACGAGGCCCTCGCTGTGCAGGCGCACGCCGCAAGCGGACATCCCATTTTTCACCTACAAATCGGGGGGTGAAGAGAAGGCATTCCTTTTTGTGGGTGCGGTGTTGGTGGTCTTGTTCCAACCAAATGACGAAAAGCTCAAAGGGAGTGGCACTTGTGAGGGGGTCTGAAGCATCAAAAAACTAGACTCCAGGCGACATGTCCACGGCTGTGTAGATGAATTGGAAGGGAATGGTGATCCATGGGTCCAAGAACAGGACGACCGGGCAGAAACGAAGGGCCACCTGGAAACCCTGCATCATGGCAAACCTCAGATTTGCTTCTCAAAAACCTGGAAAAACATTGAAATGAGTGTTGTCATAACGTCTACTTTAAACTAAAAAGACTGTATAGTAAGAATAACAATAATAAAGAACAATAAACAAAGAACACACAAAAGATTAGACCCCTCTCCAACATGGGAGTGGAAAACGGGCCCTTAAAACCAAAAATACTGCTTGTCCTCTGCAGGCAGGAGGTTTTCCACTTCCATGATAGTGAGTGGCGGAGTGTAGAGATTTTCGGAGTACAGATTCAACAAAAACACAACAAGAGGTATCCACAAAAGAACAACAAGAGGTAGTCTTCCCGGACAATGATGTCCCTGTGGGAGTAATAGAGGGTCAGTTTGGTACTACGTATGGATATGCATATATGTTTGTACATACTGTATATATATATATATGCTAGCCCCCCCCAAAAAAAAAAACTATGTTTCTGAGTGCTGGTGTGCAGTTGGTAAGCATATTTGTTCATTTAACTATGTATTACAAAATTGTCCAAATCCATAAGGTTATGTGTTTACAAAACAATTCTTGGATGTAGTAATCTAATTCCATGCAACCCCCATGCAAAAACCATATGTCTTGCTTTTAGGATGTGAATTGCTCTGCTCTTATTGAATGCAGTTGAGCAAGTACATCATAATCAGAAGGCAAAGAATTCCAAACCCTAAATAACTAAATTGAAGTTTAATTCTAATTAAAGTCAAATTCCAATCTATTCAACTCTACTCTACTTTGTATATTCAAATTCAAATTTGAGTCTCAATTATTTGTAAATTTTACTTTGATTCAACTGTCTATCACTATAGATTCTAATTTACTTGGGATTCAATGCAAGCCTAATTTTAATTTGATTTCAAGCTAATTCGAACTTCATTGCTATACAAGTCAGATTCAATTCTAATAGTGTATTCGGTTTCAATTTGGTTTTAATTTGAGTGAAATTCTCATTTACTTCTAGAGAAGTGGTGTTACTTTGACCATGAGAGATTTTATGTAGGTTTTCCAATATAGAAGCATTTGCTTTCTTAAATGAATCAAATTCACCACCAGCAACACCCACTCTCTAGAATGACACCAAAACTGAATTAGCATTGAACTAGAATCAATATAGGATTAAACTAGACATATAGAAACCAAACATAATTTGCAATGACGATAGTGTAAAGTTAGATGTGTAAAACAATTGAATCTGAACTGTACAAAGGTATTACCATTAGAAATTAATTATCATTAAATTGGAATAGTCAAAGTTACAATTGAATCCAAAATAGAATGACATAGAACTAAGTTAGAAGTAGACTGGAATTAAATTAGAATTGAATGAAAGACATTGAATAAGAATCCATTACTTAAATTGAAACTGACTTAGAACTAAGGTAGAATTGGATTAGAGTTGTTTTACCTAGAGCTTGGTTAGTAGAACAGTACTGACTTAGAATTATATTGGAATCTAAGTTCAATTAGAATTGAACTAGGTCTAATTTGCAATCTCAATTTGATTTCAATTATAGAAAGTTCAATTAGGACCATTTTCTATTTAAATTAGAAGCACGTTGCAGATTCAAATTTAGATTCAAGTTTGAATTCAATTAGATCTAAAATAGCCAAACATAATTAGAATTAAAATATACATGAATAAAATATAAAAAAAACTGAATTAGAATTTGTCTATACAATGAAATTAAGCTAAATAGACTTAAATTAGAATTCAATTAGGCTCAACTTAGGCTTAAAGTAGAACTATGTTACATACTCAAGTTAGAATCACTTTACAGTTCAATTAGACTCAACTTAGAAGTTTAAATAGAAATAGAAGTGCTTTTATATTAGAATAAGAACTGACTTAGAATTTAGTTAAATTGTATGTGCACTAAAATTCATAGGAGTAAATTAGAGTTGAATTAGTTGTTAATTAGGATTGAATGAGAAACAAATGTTGGTAATCAGTAATATTCCAGGATCAGAATGTACTTAGTGCAATTTTGTCACTACCAGAGAATGCCAGAGAATGCATTCCTTCCCAAAACCAAGATCCAAGATCCAAGATTTGCACAGAAGTCTTGTGGAAAATCTTGGATTTGGGATTTGCCAGAACATCCTTATCACTGTAAGGATGTTCTTCAATCCAAGATTTTAGCCAGGAGTCTTGCGGGAATCTTGGATCTTGGATCTTGGTTTTGAACAAGAATGCATTCTGAATGCATTGAATGCATTCTGAATGCATTGAATGCATTCTGAATGCATTCCTTCCAAAGTTATTTAACATGCCGGAATTTAGAATCTTTACAAACAAGTTATGTAACCTACCTGCACAAAAAATATATATATATGGTACCCCAAAAACGAACGTCCAAAAGGCCGCCAAAAATAGACACAAAATATTGCAAATACCAGCAAAAGTGAGGTGAACATAGTTCTTTTTTGGGGGGGGGTACCATATATATATATATATATACCGCATAACATACATATATATATATATATATCCATCAGATATCCTACTGGTTGTATACTTGGGGGTATCGCCTCCATCAACCAACCAACCAATAGCAAAAGGCCATCAAGATGGGCCATCCCGGAGACTTAAATGAGTTTGCTGCGCTCACGGTGCTGATGATTTGCAAGGTCAACATCACGTGCATCGTGCAGGAGAGGATCCGAAGTCGAAGAGCGGTCAATTCCACCAAGTCATGCCCCACCATCAAGTGCTGCAAATAGCCACAGAAACAAAAGAAGGCAGAAGCAAAGGTGTCAAGCCCAGGTGTTGCAAAAGCTTCGTAGATCAAACCAGAAAGGGTGAAAAAGTTCATGTGACACGCCCATTTGCTGATGGACTTGTAATATCTTTGGCGAAGCTTCACCATTTCCGCATCAATCCTGGCTGCCCTCGTTTCCTTAAGTCCATCCTGGGGATGAAGAATATCGATCGGTGAGCTTTCAAAGTGCCCCGAGGAACGCAGTCTCTGGCTCTTAGAAAGTCAACCCTGTGAGATTGTGACATTGCAGCGACCCGTCTTATGTATAATATTTATATATATATATATATCCTCCAAAAGTTTAAAGATTCTAAAGAATACTATCCAGCTGGAAAGAATGTCAAATTTGGTAAAAGGGTTGTCTAGTCAGCAGTTTTTCCAGCGTTCCAGCGTCGCAAGGCGAGGCCTTTGTTCCTCCTTCGAAAACGACGGCGGCCCTATCGACCCCGGCGCTGTCCTTGACCTCCGGCTGCATCATCGAGCTGAGCCATCGTCGCAGTTCTCCGAAATCGGACTGGGTCAGCCGCACATGCACCGGTAACCACACGGTGATCACGCAAAAGACCGCCAGCACAGCATCCATGGCTAGACGCAGGTCTCGGGCCCTTCGGGGCCCAAAAGCGCCTAGGCGTGTAAAACCCACGCTGGGAGGGAGAATCTCAGGCTCCGTTTCAAGCAAAATTTAAAAGGTCTTCGGGAAGCGGCCGTTCGGTCCTGACCATGTCCGACCCTCATATACCGAACTTGGTTGTACACGACCAGGGGTATGCCCTATTCATCAACCGACCAAGAGTTTTTCAGGCCAACTATGAATCCTGATGCTACCACCAGAGTGTTGCCATGAAAAAGGGGTGAATCGTGGCTATGCAGAGAACATGTTGGGTCCACGTCAAACGCTGGTGCAGCTGATGAACATCACCAACTGAACCAACGTATTCATGGTGATGCTCATGCCTTTGGTACCTTCAAAGACACACCCTGAACTGAGGAATGTCCTCTAGCCAAGGTCTCGCTGTGGCGAGACTGCGAGACAGGGAGCAGTCTCGCCAAGACAGGTAGATCCCGTCTTTGTTTCAAGCGAATTGGACATGATTGACATCCAAAAGTGGGTGGTTTAGCACGGAGCAACTTTTCTTGGGAAGAGTGAACTCTTCCTAGCAGTTCTTCTCTCGAAAGTGCTCTCATTCTGAACTGAATCGCCGTGCAAAAAAACACAACGATTCAGTTAAACCAGTGCACACATCAAAAGAGGGAAACAGCTTTCACAAACAAACCACGGCCTCTCTGACCTTCCTTCTCACCACGGCCTCGACCGGTTCTCTCGGCTCTCTCTCTCGCCTCACGGCCCTGGCAGGTATACACCGGTGCCCTCCGGATCTGGCCACTCTGCTTGAAGGCCTGACCGCGAAGAAGAACGACGCGAGACGGAGAGCGGGAAAATCGGGAGCGAGCACCAAACTAGAGTGACTAGACATCAACGTACCTACAAGCCATGAGGCAATGAGACCAGGAAGTCCCTGCTTCGCCAGCTTTTGGAAAGGGGCAGGAGAATTGGTCCATGAAGCAAAACGGGGGAGTCCGAGGCCTGTTTGTTGCTAGCGCTTTCCCCACAATCCCACCATCGCCCAGTTTGGGTGCTTCAATCAGTTTTCGAGAGCTCAACCGTCCCAGGCGAAAAAGGACCAGCTTGCAGATCAGAAAGAAATGCCAGAGCAATGACTGCAGAAGCATCATGGCCAGAATGCCAGCTTCTGCTGGGTTTCAAAAAAAACAAAATAAAAAACTTTGGCCCTGCTGGAGGCCTCCCGCAGCCTCCAGCAGGGGGACGCACTCGCGGTTCGCCCCAAAGTTCCGACTCGCGCCTCCTGCTTGTACTGCCCAGGCGCAGGCCCGTCCTCCACGAAAACGCGGATGTTTGGGGCGGACAGGCGACGCGAGCTCGGGAAAAGCCCTTCGCATGGGAAAAGCCGTTTCGCTTGGGGCAGTGTGGAGCCAGGCTTCTTCAACAACAAACAAACAAACCAACCAAACAAACCAAAACACAACAAAACAAAACAAACCAAACCAAAAACAAAACAAAAAACCAACCAACCAACCAACCAACCAAGCAACCAACCAAGCGAACGAACGAACGAACGAACGAACGAACGAACAAACATCATCGTCACCATCATCGTCGTCATCGTCATCGTCATCGTCATCTCCAGATGCTACAACCTCCTATGGAGCTTGGACCCTGGCTGAGGTCCAGGATTGAACCAATCCCAATCGGTCGAACAAGGTCCCCCTAGAAATCTTGGGATCCTTCGGCAGGAATGTGCCCTCCAAAATGCCAAGCTTAACAAGCCATCAGCCTTCTTTCAGCCACCGGACCATATGGGGATTGGTTTTGACCCACATCCATGTCGGACAACGCACCGAAGGCGTGCCAGGCACGTTGGAGCATCCTTTCGCTGGAAAAAGCCGATCGCCGTCCTTGCGCAGACACCGGTCTGGGCCTTTCGCCATGAGGCGGTTCACACCATGGGGGTTCGGTCCACTCCGACCTCTTCAGTTCCTCCATGCTTCGTCAGCTCCCCTTGGGCGCCCTTCAGCGACGCGGGTGCGCGACGCCGCGCTCCTCGTCGTTCACTTGCAGCGTCTCCGAGCCAAAGCGGCAGCCTCGGTGCCACGGGGAGACCACGGTGCCACGGACGGACGCGGTCGACGGAGACCGCGTCGAAGGGGCAGAGACCCTTGGTTCAGAGACCCCAAAAATGGAGGCCAAGTGGGCAGAGCACTTCACTTGGTGGCGGAGACATGGCCTGTCCTGGCCCGAGACCTAGGAGGGTGGGGATGGCGATGGCTGGGGCCCAGCATTCGGTGCTGTTTTGGAAAGTGGCTTGGAGGTGCCCTCGTGAGATATTCCGAGCTGATCACCAAAGAAGCAACGAAAACCCCACTGCATTATGCATTGTTGTGCCTGCAATGCTGAGGTGATGTCGCCCTCGTACTTGATTCTGAAGTGCACCCACATGGTTTCTCATGAGTTGCACTTACTTGGACTGCCAAACTCTTGGCGCTCTCCACCTGCCCCATCACCGTCCTCCCCTTCCCAATCCCCCCCACCTGCGTTCTTCCATATGGTCGGATGCCCTTTTGGATCCCTCAGCCAGACTTGGACGATCCGCTCGGCCGTCAAAAGGCGCTGAGGACTGGGGCCCTCTGCGGGTGGTATCCTACATTACACGGCTGTACCAGGCGAAGAACTGGGAAGCTGGTCATGCTGGGCAAATGGAGTTTAGGTAGGCGTGTCTGAGCTGCAGGCGAATGAGTTTCATACACCGATTTGATGTTGCAATGAATTGTTCTCATAATCTCATCCTCCATGTGCAGCGTTGGGGGTATGTTCGAAGGCGTCTTTTTGACTTTTGGCCAAGCCTTACCCGCCTTGACGGTATCAAGCGGCATCACAAAACTTTGAAAGTGCAATGGATTTCATGAGCAAAAAAGTCTGGCAGGCACTATGTGGGTGTGTCTTGACCGAAGATCCCTGAGCCTAGAAGGAAACATATAATTCATTTAATGATATAATACTGTATGTTTTGTATGTAATACATATATATATATATTATGTATAGACCACCAAGCCGATGTTTGGGGGCTCTGTAAGACACAGCCATGTCCAACTGCGCCATGTCTGGGCTCACAGCGTGAAGCTCAAGGCTCCCAAATCGCCCAACCCGAATCGATCTCCCCCACAGGGCTCCCATGGCCATGGCTCCCGCGTCTCTCGAGCTTTCCAGGTTCCCCAAATATCCGACTAAGATCCTGTGGCTCAAACACCAGCTGGACTCTTTTCAGAAATCTGATAATCAACTTTGTTTCATTGACGTTCTGGATCAAGAAACCCCCAATGCTTCAACCTCAGCACCCACTGCGGGGCTTCCGCACCAGCTCTTCCAGTTGTTGCATTCCTTTCAGCTGGATTCGAAGATGTCACCTCAAAGCTCCCTGCCCCTCCTGTGCCTCTTCCCACCAAGTCCAACGCGTCACCTGCACATCTCTGCTGTCTGCCAGGTGGCATGGTGCTCGGCACCAAGTAGTGCGGCCCAGGGTTGTCCGCCAAGGGGTCCTTCGCCTCAAAAGAAAAACAACGGACCGACCCGCAGCAACCCGGAGCGGAAACCAGAGCAAACATTGGCAGTTCTTGGGCCGGAAGCACGGCTTTTCTTTCAGAGCTCAGCAAGAGGATGGCTCTAGGGCCTTTAAGGGCAACCTTTTGGGGATCTCCCGTTAAGCGATGCAGACGACGCCCCCCCCGCCCGCGGTCTCGCTCCTCCGGACCAGGCCCCCCTGCTCCAATCAGCGTCTTGCCGATGCTAAACTTGGGTGCGGAGCCATAGCACCTGAGAGTTCAGACATGAAAAATGGCTCTGGAACCCTGGTACTGGAAGTTCTCTGGCCAGTGCCTATTGCTAACATCCCAACTTTCCGTTGACTTGGCCAGCAAAAGCCAGAGATTTTGGAGCCCTCGTTTCCTAGTTTCCACATCCGAGGACCGCTTCGTCTGCCTTCACCGACACTGTGTAGTCTAGAGTCTAGTGCGGTTGTGCTCGGGAAGCTTCGCCCAGTTGAACCATAATCCCTTGAACCAAAAAAGAACATGCCCCACCCCCAAGAAAAGAAAGAAAGAACGAACGAAAGAAAGAAAAGAAACACCATTCGTGCTCTCTCAAGAGGGTGTCGCCCAAAATGGGATTCTGTTAAGTTAGGACCAGGGATTGAGGGGTTCTAGCCGCTAGCCAGGAGGCACAAACAAAGAAACTCCCCACAAACTACCTTCATAGATACTATATAATAGGCGCATTTAGTCAGTCATGAAAAGTAAAGGGGGTCATTGCAAAGGCAAACTGCATTGAGGTGTTCCGTGTCCGACATCGACATGTGCTATTTTCATTGGGCAGTGTTTTTCGACAGGTGCTCAGACATTGTAACTCCAAAAACTACCGTTTACAGTACTTCAGGTTGCCCCCATCACGTTTCACCGTACATGCCCAACCTGCCACTCCAGCCCGGATCCGGGCCCCTACATCCCACTCGTCATTGGGCCCCCCGGCGCGTCGTAGGCCTTGGAGGGGTCCGTGTCCAGCATGCCATCGGAGTTGCTCCGCAAGGGCTTCGTCAAGCTAGGCCGAAAGCTCCACTTGGGCCTCACACCGCAGTGACCCCGACTCTGTGGGAACCAGGGTGTGATCATTGGAGCCAGAATGGCATCAATTGCCTGGAACGGAGCTGGTGCAGCTCCCTGATTGCTGGGCTTTTTGGGGCAGACGCCTTATGACTTCTAGCAAACGCCTCAGACCAGCCTGTCGTATGAAACCTGAAACCTCCAAAAACTACGCACCCACTTGAGAGTCCAAGCTAGATTGGCTGAACCTCTACGCTTCCAAAGCCCTCAGGTGGCACTTTCCTAACCTTGTCTTTCAGCCTCTCCAACACCAAGAGACGTGTTTCCGGTCTTCACAGACGCTCCGAGAAAACAGTTCTGAGTCCAAAACTGAACAGTTCTGGGCAAATCCTGCTACTGCTGCTTGCAAGCCCCAAAAGCTGCCCTGAAAAAAGCCCCAAAGCTCCACCGGGTGTCCGCTGCCCAACGCGCAAGGAAGCTCGGTAGCCGGCCTAAGTGAAGGGTGAAGGATCAGCCAGAGACCGGGAGACCAGGAATTCTTGGAAGAAGGGGACCGGGATTAGCCAAAACAGACCCAAGAGGATATCAAAAACAAGGAACTCCTTTAGACTGGGTGTTCTGCGGACCTCTCTGGAGGTCTGTGGACGTCTGGTAAAGGAATCGCGTCTCTCGAAAGCTGTAGCTCAAGATCCTTCTCTTGTCAATCGGGCAAATGGAATCTGTTGGGCATCTCTGTGAGGGAAATATGATTGACACTATGATTAACCAATTGCACAACTGAGTGGAATTCTCCACGGTTGAGAAACTCTGGCAGCTTCTCATTCTGCATCTATATATGTAAACACCTCAGGTCTCCTGGCTCCAATCCCCAGATCTTCCAAACCATTGGGAAGAACAAGACGCCTCGCCCAGCACCTGGGGCCCCACACGTCTAAGCCCCACCTTGGTGCCGAAAGCTCGCCAAGCCCCGCGGACGTTTTTTTTTGACACCGTGGTGTGTCCCGTTGGTGGGGCCTGGTTGAACACCAACCCCATGGAACACCAATCCCATGGAAGAGATCCAACGGAACGGACGTGGTGTCATCCTATCTCCGGTGGTGCTTCCTCCCACATATAAGGCCAACGTGGGGAGGTGTGGAGGATCAAATGAACTAGTGCAAACATGTGCGAAGCTTCCCAAACTCGCCAGGAACTTCGTGAGTTTGAAGCTCAATGTCATGAACTTTGCTTCGACAGGGAGACCTTCAAACAGGTCCCGAACATCTTCCGGAAAGCACATCCTCCGCGTCCACCGTGGGATCCACCGGGTCTGCCACCTCCTGGATCCAGTGGATCCTTTTCGGAACATGTGCCCAGCTGGGGGTGAAGACCTCGACCAGGGTGGGGGATCCACGGATCGGGATCACCCGATCCGTGGCAAGGAGCCCACGGATCCGTAGCTTCTTGCTACGAATGCTCCGTTCGTAGCGTCCTGGACGCTGCGTTCGTAGCGATGCACCTGGTTCCTAGCAAAATTCCCTGGTTTGCGCAGATCTCATCAGTGATGAAAGTTGGTTTCTGGTTCGACTGGAGTGAAGGAAAAACTTCAGACCCAGACCGTGCCAACCAAAAATGAAGGGGTCCAAGCTGTGCTGCAGGGTTCGCATCAACCTCTGCCAGGGTCCGATCCGTCACAGCTTCTGTTGCGCCACCAAAAGGCTTTTGGGCCCAAATCCACATTCCAGTCAACCGTTGATCCTACCCTCACTCACTCAGTCACGAGTGACTCACTCACTCTCTCACTCTCTCTCTTCCTCTCTCTTCTTGGGTCTTCCAATGCAGTCGGAGGGCTTCATGCTCCGATATTCATTCATGGTGAGATCCGTCACACGGCCGTTCCACTTGCCCCTGCAGTCAGGGATTTGCAGCGCCAAATGGGAAGCACTTGGTCAGAAAGATCTAGGCACAAATTAGATATGTTTAAAACCTAGTCTTATGTATTATATATAGTCCAGAACAATGCAAAATCTGTACAATCAAGGAAAGAAAAAAGAACTAAAAAAAATGGTGGAAAAAAAACATAGAACTCCGATGATTTTGCAAAATCGAAAAACAATATGCAAAAATTGAACAAAAAATTGATACAAAAAAAGAGAGGAAAAGTGGAGAAAACTAGGTCCTACTTATATATATATATATATGCGGCATAATTGCAGGGAGAATTGAGCTCCCTTTCGTGGTGAAAAAACGTGGGCCGTCTATCCCGTTAAGGCCGGCGAGCCGTTCAATACGGCCGTCTCTGTGCCGGGCTTCCAATGCAGGTGACTGCGTGCAGGTGGCTACTCTGTACCTGGAGTTCCATGTGAACCTGATGATTCTTGGAAAGTGGGCGTGCCAACGAACACACGAAACAGGATGGGTCTTTCCCACCCCGACATGGAAGTCATGGTATCCTCTCTTGAACTGCGTGACAACACCTCAGACTTCATGTGTAAGTGTCAATGCCTTCTCTCAAAATCTACAAATAGCCGCTCAAGAGCCAACCAGTGGCAAGACCCCCAAAACCCAATCCCACCGGGTCACCAGACTACAATTCCACTTAGCTGTATACCTCGATCGCACACCACAACCGCCTCCCCTCTTCGCCACGAACGCGACACCGCACCGATCGCGGCAACGAGGACGTCCCCCGGTCCGCTCGTTGGTCCCGAGGCGCTTCCGCTTCCCCTTGCGGATGCTGGCCTGGCCGACGGGCCGACGGGTCGACGGGTACCGCGCAAAAGCAACACGGCAGCGGCCGGGGAGGGAGGTGACGGTCATGAAGTCACTGAGTTTCGGCACCAAAACCAATAGTCACTGGGTCCAGCACAGCTCGAGACTCATCGGCTGAAAAGACTGATGGAGTGTTTCTCATCGGCTGAACCTACAGGAAAAAGGGCTTTCCCTTGTAGAATAATCCTACGATTGGTAGTGTCCGTCCATCCGTCAGTCCGTCCATCTTCGACCATCGTGTCTGCCTTGACGATCGTGCTGCAGATCCAAGATTTGCAGTATCAATTCATGCAAAGTGTTGGTTTCCAAGGCATGACATGTGTGTTCAAGGCATTGTTTTTGGTCCAACATCTCCACCCTCCATCGATTCCTGGTAGAAACCGAATTCATACCTCCAACACATTTCAACAACCCACCATCTTCGGACACCTGTGAGCTGGCATGCTGCTTTCGTGAGGCTATCATCATCCACATGCATCTTCCTTTGCACGTCCACGAAACGCTGGGCATTCCGCACCCGGAACGCGCTCGTCGACCGCTTCGGGGAGGGCGATTCATCCTCGCCCGACTCGGGCGCCGGCCCTGGCGGACAGAGCGGAGGAGCGACAAGATGGACAGCGACAGTGTCTAGGTAGCAGATGTGGCGCGCAAGAATGCACGACTAGCTACACATGAAAATGAACCATTCTTCTTTGGAAAATCCCTTCTCTCCCTCCTTACAACCATAAGCAACGGTGGCAACACAAGGTTGGAGATATTCAAATCCTTGAACTTAACGTGCATTTGGCCATGTATATAGATGGACTCTTTTTTGCTTATGTTACGATGATGTCCCCAGTGCCAGTTGCTAGTTGGTTCATACATACCTAGAACCTTCTTGGTCTTGTGGGGGAGTACCAACCACCTGGTATTTTCCTATCAAAACAGAGGTCAGATCGGTTCGAGGTATACAAACACATCAAAGGCAAGGCCAAGCTGATTCGTTCTCTGCCCTTCGCTGGGCCACGGCAGCGCCTATGCTTCCGGCCATATCTTTGTAGGTCTCTTGCACCAGGGCCGCTGCTTCAGCCATGACTCGTGCCACTTCATTCGCGGCCGCCATGGCGACGACAGCGGACCCAAGTTGACTTCAAGTTGACTACAGCAGACGCTGGTGAGTCATTCGTGATGCCTCAGAAGGTGCCACATCTGCTGACGAAGTTGGGTGCTGCGCCTGCCAGTGGTGCTGAGGTTGGGTGATTGATTGGAGACCAACTCACCTTTCCAATCCGGTCCTCCTACAGAGCTTGGCTCTTGAGTGCGTTTGCAGGGTCGCAGGGCACCTACCAGATGAGCTGCGCCGACTGCAAATCTTCCACTGATAGAGGTCCACCCAAAAAAGCTTCGAATCCCGTATCAAACAAATACATGGCAGGTCGACCCAGATCTGTCTCTGCTTAGCCAAGGTAAAGACCCATGGTCACCACTGGCGCGCCCGTTCCAAAGATGGCGCTCGGAGCTTTTTGGGCACCTCAAAGGCGGTTATTAGGGCGCCAGCGACTGTGCAAAAGTGCTCAGTCAGCTGAATTTGAGAAACGAATTAAGAGGAGCGGTCGCGAGCATATGTTTTTTTTCCTCATTTCTCAGAGTGGTCAAAATCAGGTCTGAATGGGTTGTAGTTGTTTGCATGATCTACAAAAAGACAAGTCACCAAAGCACAGCTCCTTGAGAGATAGTGCATCTGGGTTCACAGAAAGACCAAATTCCAGCGGTGAACAGTTGCCCAACAAACAAAGACACCAAGGTTAGTCGCTTTCATCCTGACCCCAAAGTAGCGGCTTTCTGAACTGTTCGTCGCCAGCTCACAGGAGGGTTCATCCCAAATCCAGCAACTATGGATGGATCAAGAACAATCTCTGGAGATGAAAGTGCCATGACCACGCCCCGCGGGCCATGTTCCGATCAACCCTCCATGTAAGCATCTCCTACCTGAAACAATCTTGGCACCTCCACTTGGGCCACTTGGGTCACCTTTCTCTGCTGAAGTTCTGTGGGTCGCTTCATTCTGGCCTTCTTTTGCACTCTTGCGATCTCCGTTCCCTTTAGCCCAGCAGAGAGTCATGCGCGCCGGTTCCGTGGAGAGCCGTTGATGGTGCGAATGGCCACGCTCAGATCACCACTGCACTTCGTCAAGATCTCAGACCAGGAAAACCGCACGGCTTTGGCACGGACCAGGTAGCCGTCGGTACGGCGAAGGATTCGAACGAAGCGCTTTGGATCGACGTGGTCCATCTTGTCGGATCTGATTGCAGGTTTGCTGTTTGGGAGGTTGCTGAGACGCAGGTGTCGGTATGAGTACTCTGTATACTCAAATGAAGATACAGGCCAAAACCATCCGTCGTGTCACTTGCGTCCCCTGAACATGGACTGGGCAACCTTGCATACTTTGGGGCAACCCCTTGATCGAGCCACATCGTTCCAGAGACGACCTTGTTCCATAAGAACACTCCAAAATCTGGTGGACCTTGAACCGACCCCTTCGGTCCACCCAAACACCCAAACGCCCACGAGGACTGAAACCAGTGTGTGTTTCAGATGCTGCAGGGAAAGAGACATTGCGTGCCGTCCTGCACTTCTCCGTCTTTCGACTGGAGAATCTTCGACCACGAATTCGACCACTCTTCAAATCCAATCTTCGAACCATTGTCCCTTGGAAAAGGACGTTTTCCAACTGAATCCCACCTCCTCATCTTTACTGAGCTTCTCCAGGATAATCCACGTTTTCCAGAATTGGTTACTTTAATGGAAAACCTACAGGAAAGCCATAGATTTGGGGTTGAAAACAAGGGTTTCCTGCAGATGTTACCTTAAACCAATTCATTGAATGTATGTTTCTGCCGTGTTCGAACCAAAAGGAAGGCTTGAGGGGCTCCCGGCTTTGGCCCTCCTGGGCCACCCCAACATCTCGCAGTTCGGAGCTATCATTGAAGCCCATCTCCTGGATGAGCCCAGGTTTCGTGTGGCCCAGCTTGGCCCAGGTGTGTGTGTGTGTAACCCTTGGAATCACAGGGATCCTTTCGGATTGTTTGGTTTTTGGTTTTGCTTCCACTTTTACCGCAGGGGAGTTCGTTCTCACTGGGATCACGCAGAAGTAGCGGCAGATCATTTGGGACCGCTACCAACGAAGACGCCCATTTGATCTGGTGATATCGGAATTGGCCACTCCGACGTACCTGCTTTCTTCTAACTTTTGAACTTCCTTGTAAAGGGCTAATGCAGCTGCAGTCACGCACGGAACGCCGTCACTCTGTCGGATCGATTTCGTCGCTTTGGTGCTTGCGCTTTGGGCCACTTCTCCGTTTGAAGACCCCCGGGATTCGCTGGTTCCCTACTGATACTCTTAGGAAATGGAACCCTAGGCCGGCGTGTGGCACCGCTGTCAAGTCAGTATGCATATCCATAAGTGTGTCTGGCCTGAACGGGGGTTAGTCCATGTTCCCCGGCTCTGGGAACGCAGATGTCCGCAGCGGACAGCAGGTGGCCTAGGCCGTACGTACAATGATTTTTGTCTCATCTTTGGAATTCCAAGTTGGCTCATGCCTTTACGTGACCGCAGCGGTCAAAGCAGCCAGCCATTTCGGCAGGGCACAAGGTGACCACAGCGGTCAAAGCAAGTTTAAGGTTCATTGGAACCTGTCGGGACCTTAGTGTGATGACTCCTCCTTCTCCGCTCCCCGCTTCTCTTTGGTGTGTCCCTGGACGCTTGTTTCGTAGCTGGGAGCACCTCTCTCTTTCTCTCTCTCTCTCTCTCTCTCTCTCTCTCTCCTTTTCTTGACGGGTGTGTCCTTGGACGCTTGAGTGGTAGCTGGGAACACCATCGTCTCATTCCTTTTCTCGTTTGGTGTGTCCTTGGACGCTGGGCTCGTAGCTGGGAGCACCTCTCTCACACTCTCTCTCTCTCTCTCTCTCACTCTCCCTCTCGCTCTCTCTCTCTCTCTCTCACTCTCTCTCTCTCTCTCTCTCCCTCTCCCTGCGCCTCCCGCCGCTATGCAGCTCTCTCCTTCCGGCCTCGCCGCCTACACCTTGCCACTCACAGGCCTTCAACCTTTCCTTTCCCTTCCTTACGCCGGGGTCTACACCCTACCGGATAACAGCGTGCAGGGGTGCCTGGGCCTTTCACTGTGCAGCTGGCAACTGCACCAACCATCCTTCCTCCAGTTTACAAGAAACGGTCACTTCTTTTCCGTTTCTTGTTCTTCCTCTTCCTGCGCCTCCACGCACCTTTCCTTTCCGTTCCCTACGCCGGGGTTTACACCCTACTGGATAACCGCGTGCAGGGGTGCCTGGGCCTTTTACTGTGCAGCTGGCAACCGCACCAACCATCCTCACTGAAATCTCACCTCCTCCATTTTGAGTTGTCCGGGGCCTGGTTCAGAAGAACACCTGGGTTTGACCCGTCCGGAGCTTAATATCAGAAGGTAGACCTACCGAGAAATTTGCCTCCCTTTGGGGAGGCGTGTGTGTGTAACCCTTCGGGTGGCAGGGATCCTTTCGGATTGTTTGGTTTTTGGTTTTGCTTCCACTTTTACCGCAGGGAAGTTCGTTCTCACTGGGATCACGCAGAAGTAGCGGCAGATCATTTGGGACCGCTACCAACGAAGACGCCCATTTGATCTGGTGATATCGGAGTTGGCCACTCCGACGTACCTGCTTTCTTCTAACTTTTGAACTTCCTTGTAAAGGGCTAATGCAGCTGCAGTCACGCACGGAACGCCGTCACTCTGTCGGATCGATTTCGTCGCTTTGGTGCTTGCGCTTTGGGCCACTTCTCCGTTTGAAGACCCCCGGGATTCGCTGGTTCCCTACTGATACTCTTAGGAAATGGAACCCTAGGCCGGCGTGTGGCACCGCTGTCAAGTCAGTATGCATATCCATAAGTGTGTGTCCAGCCAGGGCACACAAAATGCATTCATGCCCAAGCCCAACCAGAGCAAATACTCTGAAACGTGAACTCCCATGATATCTCTTTATACCACCAAAATATGGAATAGTTATGTGATGCTGTAATACTATGTGTTCCTTCTCGCTGTGTTTTGCCATACCCAACCAAGTGCATAAAGGAAAGGGGATTCCAGACTTGGACCACCAGGAATGACAATGGTCAAAATCTGCAGCACGTCGACGTAGCGCATGGGTGTCGATAGTTCAGCTAACGTCGATGAAATCCATTTCCTCTCGAGCCACCAGCAAGAACCCCTGGAACCTGTGTCTTTTCAGGACATCCACCCCATCATGGGGTCTTCGGGTATCGCACCTGATGGTCAGTGGTGTTCCCATGCCCACCCCCTGACCTTTTTTGTTCGTCCAACCCGCGTGTGACGGTCGACCGTCGCCTTCAACTTCTTTAAGGCTGCCCCGTAGCGGAATCGGGGCTTCTCCATCACAAGGCTCGACTTCACACGAGCCTGCGGCAGTCGACGAGGGAATTGACCTGGTGATGGGTTGTCACTCGATTCACGTGGTTTGAAGTGCAGGGATTGATCTGGGTGTGGTCTGGGAAGCGATTTCAGCCGGGTTTCCTCGGCAGAACAACGCTTAAGCGTCGCGCCTCCTGTGACCGCGGCCGCGCATGATGCTGTGGCTGGGAGGGTGGGCGTACCTGTGGCCACAGCAGAACGATTCCCTAAGTCTGCCACGGTTCACGCTGCTGTTGTCTGTCAAAGGTTCGGTTCAAGGTTGTTTTTCGTAACTCTTAGGATTTCAGAAGGCACCCTTTGATCTGACGAGTCGACCAGCGCCCAGGCCTGAGCCACCTTCTTCCCCCGCTGCTGCCCACAGTGTCTGCAGAAGTTGGCATCAGGAGCCATCAGGCTTTGGCAGCGTAAGCAGGCCTCCTCGTTCCACGATATGGGCGGGGCAGTTCCAAGGATGCAAGTGCACTAGTTGTGCACGGCATGGTTTTTGGACATCCATTCCGATTTGAAAGTTCGACAGACAGAAACGCCTGATTCCTACCTTGTGTGTTGATGCCCGTCCTGGTTCTTCAGAGGCCTCAGACCGACAAGCTTGCGCCCCGCTTTTAATCACAGATCCCTGGCATTCAGCAAGTCTCCAAAACTCTGATGAAGCAGAAGATACACTGTCGAACTTCATCCATGGTTACCAACCAAAGCTCTCACGGCCCCTCTACCTGCGAAGGCCAAAACAGTCGAACGGCTGAGGTGTTGACATGCACTCATTGCCCACCTGACACGCGGCCCGGAGATCCGTTTGTTTCCGACGTTTTTGGGAGGCTTCATTTCCGACGACGCCCCCGCCCAGTAGTGCACACACCACCACTGAATGCTCCAAGAGTTCCAGTAGTTCCGGTGTGGCCCCTGAAAAAGAACGTCGAAAACACATGGTGAGACTGTTGAGCCAATCCCTCAGGGTGAGCCGCCAAAGCTGGCCAGACCCCTTCCCACCGCTCCGGGTTGACCGCGCCGGAGCGGTGAGGCTCATCGGCGGGGGTGGTAGGCGACGCTCGGCACCTGGGTGGCAGGCGACACTCAGCACCCAGGGGTCTGATCATGGCCTCGAAAAGAGGTGAGAACAGGCCAACACCCCCTTCACCACCCCTTCACCTATGGGATCCTGGTGGATGTTGCTTTTGCTTTTGTGCAGATCGGTCTCCCAATCGACCTTTTTCAGAGGGCAGGGGATCCATAGAGCGATGTTTTGCCGTTGTTGTTGGACCACCTGTGCCAGGCCCCGCGTGTTCGGGATGTCGAATCCTCGCCCGGACAAGCACCCCCAAAACCGTGGGCCCTGGTAGTGGAGTCATCCAAAGATATCCCAATCCCCCATCCAAATCCAATCCATGGCCAACCGACACCCGGTCGCATCTCCCAGGCCCACGGCTGAGTGGTACGAGCTCACGGCCGAGCTGTTCAGCCTTGAACGAGACGGCCCGGCCCCTGGCGAACCTCCAGAGGTGTTGGACCAAATCCATAAGGACCCCAAGGGGGTTTCAACAAACACAGGTTATTGGTTGCCCTTGGCTTGAATTATACCAGCGTAGACCCCAAACAGAGCAATGTTCAAAAATGAGATCTCCGAACAATATGGCCAGCAGTATTTCCTAGAGGAAGAAAACTATAGTCCACCATGTAGACGCACATACACGATTCAAAGGGAAAGCATTAAAATTCTGTTTTTCATTGACTTTACAATGGGACGCCGTACAAGGGCTAAAACATGAAATTTATGGATCCAGGTTGTGACATATGTTGCCCCCCTTGTAAACACGAATGCGCAGACCCAATCAAAATGAAGATTTCCTCAGAGCACGGACACTGCGCTTGGCTTTTTCCTTCCTACGCAGTTGCCTTCTTTGGCTTAGCCATGTACTGCATTGACCTGTGTTTGCCATAGGTCGCAACACTTGACGTAAGAGTGTGTGATTGCTTCGTTGATCATTCGATCATCCGCACGAAAGTAGCTGCCAACCTAAACAGCAAATCGAGCAATGCAACGCTTGTGGTGAAAATATGTGAAAATAGTGTATTTCGATGCAAAGCAACTTGAAAGAAGCTTGTGGTGACTCAAAACGAAACGAGGATCTGCGAGGATCTCTGCGAAATAAGGAAAATCCTTCAAGACTATGAAGGGCTTAGGTGGCTTCATCTTCGGGTCGTCCAAGCAAGCTGCCACCAAATCTGGAGCTCTTTGAAAAGCTTCAAATCCAGCCTCATTTAACTCCAGATTTCAACTGCGTGTGTGCGCAAGGGCAAAAAAATTGATTTGGCCATTTCGTTTAAACTTTTTTTGGCAGTGCTTGTTCATATCCACTGACTTTTCAAAGATGTAAAAATGTTCAAAAACTCTCTGAAAGTCACTGGTCGCCTGGGTTGTTTGCGTCCGCTTGTGGTGCATGAGGAATAGGCTCCGATTATGCAAAAAGCATCTGTTGTGATAAAGGGCTCTTTCTATGTGCAAAAACTCAAAGGCCCATACACCGGGTCGCAGAAGTCAGTGCAACCCCAACATTCATGTCAGTTCCCACTGTAACATGATTGGCCCCACTGCGTATGAAATCATGCGGCCAGAGCACTGAGAGCATCCAGAGCTTAGTGGGAGACAAGTGGGAGACAAATGGGAGACAAGCGCGAAATCATTGCTCTGAGAGCATCCAGAGCTTACTGGGAGACAAGTGGGAGCCAAATGGGAGACAAGTATAAAATCATGCGGCCAGCGCACTCAGAGCATCCAGAGCTTACTGGGAGACAAGTGGGAGACAAATGGGACACAAGTATAAAATCATGCGGCCAGAGCACTCAGAGC